GTAACTGAGTACAACTTAAACTAAGGTCAAGCGGTTAGTCAGAAACCCATGATCTCACCTGATGCACCCCATGCTTCATCTAAACCTGAGATCTAGTATGTACGTAACCCTGGTCGCAGATTTGCGGATACGCATTCACTTAATCTACTTGAGGAAATAATTTCAGAGTAAGTCCGAATACATCAAATGTAACAATTTATTAATCAGTCAGGTAAATATGTATTATGCCAATTATCTAATACATATAATACATAGATATCAAATCAATACAAGACATCAAATTCTCAAAGACGAATCTAAGAGTAAAATGCATACCTGACCTTTTAGAAAAATACATAGTGTGAAGTGTGTGGACACACTTAATACTACGGGCTCTCTGACTACTGAATCGTCCTGATCCTTTTGGAAAAATACATAGTACAGAGTGTGTGGAGACACTCCATACTACGGGCTCTCTGACTACAGAATCGCCCTGATCCTTTTGCTGCAATCCTTTAAATACAAAACCAAGATTAAAACATTTACATTTACATTTAACCCAGGTCCCAGACCAGGGTGGTCTACACCTTAATGGGAACAGAAAATAATTAGCATGGAATGACCCTCTACAGTAATCAAAGTATCTCTTAACTCTTAGGATCTGTATTATCTTTTAGTCTACTTTTGTAAGATTAAGACCATTGTACCACTCGCCCTGAAACTATTCAAATGAAACCAAACATGACTGTAAATCTTATTTGCATTCATATAGAACATTATGTTCTACCATTCTGAGTGAATAAAGTGGAGGGGGGAGATGAAAAGGCACGGATGCATATGTGAGAGAGGCGTTTCCTGCACCGCCACTCTGTGGGGTTTCTCCAAGTTGGCCGTGTAAGTTTGTGTTGTCTGTTTCTCAGGAGATCAAAGTATCTGAGTTTCGGAACTGATGCATATGTGAGAGACGTTTTCCCACATTTTCTCTCAGTGAGATGTGGAAACAGATGTCTGTATGTTAATGCACTGTGTGTGTATTGTCTGTCTTAGAAGATCAAAGTGTCTGAGGTTCTGTAATTCTTACAGTGTAGTAGCCTCCGTGTCTCTGATAAGCTCGGAAGTCGGAACTTTAAATTGGTGCACCAAACGTTGATTTCATTTTGCACAAGTTGCAACAGTTCCGTTCCGTGAACACGGTGTTCCGTGAACAGATACACACTGTGTTGCGGAACCTTTGCGATTAATTAACCGTGACGATTTAAAGCATGGTTAAGAGTGCAATCGGTTAATCGTTCCATTGAACCATTGAGCATCAACATGCATAAATCTCATTCTATCAGCAGCAGTTTGTGGCAGTGCTTGTCATTATATCTCCTCTCCTGCTCTGAGACCAGAGTCAGTAACAAACTACAGACACTTCAACTACAATTCACATTCTGTCATTGTTCTCTACAGGTTGAGGGATTGTGGCGTCACAGATGAAGGTTGTGCTGCTCTGGCTTCAGCTCTGAGATCAAACCCCTCACACCTGAGAGAACTGTATCTGTCTGTGAATAATCTAGGAAAATCAGGAGTGAAGTTACTCTCTGATCTGAAAGATGATCCACGTTATAAACTGGAGACAATATACCATTGTGAGTATCTTATTATTTAAATATTTTAAAATGGCCAAAGTTTAGCAACATGCCTCATATGTGTGTAATTGAATATACGGTAATAATAAGTCAGCTCCACTTAAGTCTCTGTACTTTAAACTGTTTAATTCTGTGATGATCTATGAATATATGAATATTTTCATCTCTTCCACTGTCTCAGGGTGTAAATGATGAAGAGAGAGTTGTTGATCATTCACTGTTATTAATCTATGATCAGTTGTTCACTCATATCTCTGGCTGTAATATAAATAAACTGTGTTTTTTTTCCTGAAATGGATCTGCTGATGTGATGTGACAGCAGTAATGTCTCATACTCATATGTGTCTGTCTGTGTGTTTAATTGTAGATGCTCAGTACTTAGACGTCAGTCCAGTTCTCTCAGGATCAGCTGATGGTGAATAAGAGCCGCTACAGAGACGTCACAGTCACACAATCAGCAGAGACTGAAGACACAGAGACACACAGCATCACAGAGAGTGAAACACAGGGCTTATGCAGAGTTAGCAATGGCAGGTGTGAAAATTCTCTACAATATTTTATTTTAAACTGGAGCCAATTGCATTTTGTTTTTGCTCATTTGCATTGTTACATGTTATGCCTTGGGACACTAACACACACGTGTAATGGATCAAGCAGTACCCGAATCTCGAGCAGGACCTAAGTAATGATAGCTGCGTTGTAACTGATGCTTGTGTGTCAGCTTGTGATTTTAAACATGTACAAAAGAAGAAATTTGATTTGGAAGGTCAAGGAGATGAGCTAGGAGTGCACGATATTTATCATCAAACATGTTCAAAAGAATCAAAAACAACAAAATACGGTTAAACGACAAAAATGATAAAATATTTCCAAATCATCCTGGCGTTGATTGGATCCTACTTTCGACAAGCCCCCATTTGTTACGCCCCGTGGCTCAAAAGAGACATAACAAAAACAGGGACACACACGAGAGAGCCAGAAATGGAATACAAAATGTATTAACAAAATCAAACTAGAACAACAACAAAAAACAATGTAGAATGTAATGGTCAGGTATCAGTGATGTAAAGTTAAATGAATGCATGGAAGTGTAATGTGTGCAGCAGTGTTGGATGTACAAAAGAAACAAGCATCTCGCTTCTTTTAAAAGGGCCAAAAGGAAGTCAACAACAGGCGTCCTCAGTGAAACTACCAGAGAACAATCACTCAGGAGGAAAACCCCACATAAGACAGAGATAGTCACACATTTACTAAACAATGTAGTAGTAATGGGGTGTCAAGGTTTTTTATCCAAAGGGCATTTGGTTTATACACCACTGAAAACCAAGGAAAATCAGTGTATTATTTTCAGTGATGGGCTTATATCCTGAGCTGTCCAGATTTAATATAGATCATCATAAATGTGTATTTTGAAATTCAGAAATAGACAACTTATCACTTGTACATTTTATTGTACTTAATCTAGTCTAACATTTGAGTGTGCAACCTTTATATGTATGTTTATTTTTATTAAAATATGTCATCTCAAGAAGAGTTTTTTTTTTCCTCTTTTTTTTTTTATTGCCAAGATATAAAAACATATAAATACATGGATAGTGTAAAAGTAACTATTTAAATAAAATGATAATGAAAGCAAAATATAAATTATAAATGAAATACAGAACATAGACTTAAAATATATCAAAATAAATGAAAACGCTGGCACAGGTTTATCGTCTGAAGAGCTTTGGAGTTATGTGAGGATGAAATATCTTGGATGTATTGCTGGATTTCTGTTTCAACAGCAATGGATAATAGAGGTCGACTGATTGATCAGTTTTGATGATTAATCAGCACTGATAGTCGATTGCTGGAATTATCGGCTAAAATCCATGCAGATGATCAAAGGGTGTAGGTTTGATTTTGGCACTGATGGAGACATAACAGCAGAAACAGACATTTCATTGTTTGATCAAAATTATTGCTAGGGACAATTTAGTAGTGTCTGATATTGGTAGGATCATGTCATAGTGTCTCTACTAAATTCTAGACCCTTGAAAACCATAACAAGCGATGTCCAACTTTGGAAACTATATTATCTCCTTAAATATGAAGAGGTCAAAAACAGATTGAGTTACTCCAAATTTCACAAAAAGCTTATGGATGTAATTATAATACAAGTCAGACATTGAAGTGAGTTGCTGTTTTTGTCTCTTCTGAGGAAGATTTATTCTCTTGTTTTCAGAATCAGAATGAGTTTTATTGGCAGGTATGTTTTCACATACGAGGAATTTGTTTTCATGCTTCTGCAGTGCAACAGAATGACAGCGACAGAACAAAAACACAGATAATAAAAGAATAAAAAATAAATAAATAGAACAAGTAAATAAGGAATAACAATATATAAATTGACAATTGCATGTGCAGGTATATTACAATAGACAGTTTTGTATGTACAGGTATATTATGTGCAAATTTGAGGTGTAGACTGAGTATGAGTGTTAGATAAATAAGTGTATGTGTGTATAAATAGTGTGTGTTCCACAGTTATTGTCAAGTGTTCATGAGATGGATGGCCTGAGGGAAGAAACTGTTCCTGTGTCTGGCCATTCTGGTGCTCAGTGCTCTGTAGCGTCGACCAGATGGCAACAGTTCAAAGAGGGAGTGTGCTGGATGTGTGGGATCCAGAGTGATTTTGCCAGCCCTTTTGCTCACTCTGGACGAGTACAGTTCTTGAAGAGAAGGGAGGGTTGTACCAATGATTTGCTCTGTAGTCTTCTGAGGTCAGATTTGGTAGCTGAGCTGAACCAGACAGTTATAGAAGTGCAGAGGACGGATTCAATGATGGTGGAGTAGAACTGTTTCAGCAGCTCCTGTGGCAGGTTGAACTTCCTCAGCTGGCGAAGGAAGTACAACCTCTGCTGGGCCTTTTTCACAATGGAGTCAATGTGAGTGTCCCACTTTAGGTCCGGTGTGGGGGAGAGGGGGGTTGCTGGAGGTGTGAATGGTTGTGTGGTGAGGTGTTCAGGGCAGGTGTGGGTGTTTTTTCAAACCTGCAGTAGAACTCATTCAGATCGTCTGCCAGTTGTTGATTCTCCACAGTGCTGGGGGATGGTGTCTTGTAGTTGGTGATTTCTTTCAGACTTTTCCACACTGATGCCGTGTCACTGGAAGAGAATTGAATCCTTATTTTTTCAGAATAATTCCTCTTTGCCACTCTGATCTCCTTTTCCAGTGTGTATTTGGCCTGTTTATAAAAGACATTGTCCCCCTTCCTGTGAGCATCTTCTTTGGCCTTACGG